TAATACCACTTTACAATGCCTTGGTAAGGCCACACTTGGAATACTGCATCCAGTTTTGGTCACCGCGATGTAAAAAAGATGTTGAGACTTTAGAAAGAGTACAGAGAAGAGCAACAAAGATGATTAGGGGACTGGAGGCTAAAGCATATAAGGAACGGCTGCTGGAATTGGGTATGTCTAGTTTAATGAAGAGAAGGACTAGGGGTGACATGATAGCAGTGTTCCAATATTTCAGGGGTTGCCACTAAGAAGAGGGAATCAAGCTATTCTCCAAAGCCCCTGGAGGCAGGACAAAAAGCAACGGGTGGAAACTAATCAAAGAGAGAAGCAACCTAGAACTAAGGAGAAATTTCCTGATAGTTAGAACAATTAATCAGTGGAACAACCTGCCTCCAGAAGATGTGAATGCTCCAACACTGGATTTTTTTAAAGAAGAGACTGGACAACCATTTTTCTGAATTGGTATAGGGTTTCCTGCCTGAGCAGGGGGTTGGACTAGAAGACCTCCAAGGTCCCTTCCAACATCATCATCATCATCATCATCATCATCATCATCATCATCATCATCATCATTATTATTATTATTATTATTATTATTATTATTAGAGAGAGAACTTCCTCTTTTCCAAAGAAAATAATGAATCTTCCCTTCTCCATCTCATTCAGCCCCAGTCCTCCCTACTCTCACTGCTAGCTACACTTTTTAAAAATTGCATATTAATTATACTCATACAAATATTAAATGTAAGCCTTCCTTACCCATATTTCCAGGATAAGAAAAACCCTAGTACTTTATTTATATGTGCATAATACTTATTTCAATTTTATACCACCTGCTTCAAATACTCTAGAGATGATAAAGAACAATAGGGATCCTTGGTGGTCTCTGAGCTTGCTTGTTTTCTTGCAGACATTTCATTATCCAAACTGGGTAACATCATGACTAGCACTGATGATGTTACCTAATTTGGATAATGAAACGTTTGCAAGAAAACAAACAAGCTCAGAGACCACCAAGGACCACTCTAGAAATGCCCTGATGCTCTGGAACAGACATCCTTTTTGATTGGATGCCACCAAATGAATGAGTCAGAATTCCACTAGTTATGCTTTAGGCCAGAGGTATCAAACTTTGACATGTCGTGACATATCGTGACTTTTTTTCCATTGCCAGCAATGGTGTAGGCGTGGTTTCACCATGACACATCCGGCCCGTGGGCCAGCAGTTTGACACCCCTGCTTTAGGCAAAGCAAGGCCAAAAACAGCTGTAACATTTTAGGTTGGTGGGATGAAAGATGCTTCATGTTAAAATATACTTCTTACCTTCACTCACATTGACCAGTGAAGACAGAACAGCTGTTCTGGTATCATCCAGCCATTCTTCTTAGTCTTTCTGTATGACTGAGACTTTATAAAAATAATTTATGTGGAATTATGTTCTTTTTACCAGATTGTCATATTCTGTCATCTGGCTCAGTTGTCTCAACAGGAACTTGGCTAAAAATAAACTTTCCCACAATATCTTCTCCACTGCCTTATAAGCAAAATACCTTTACTACTTGCAGCTTTTTGCTGCATTGTTCATGAAATATATTTATACAAAGCTGTCCTTCTGTTTAATGCAATATAAACCCTCTAAAGAAAGCTAAAAACCTGCTAGTGAAACCCAGTGGAATAGAACAGCGAAACAATTGGTTTGCTTGGTGTTAAAGCAACAGAAGAAAATTAACTCTGTATGTGTAGACAGGAAGAGACATAAGCTTGTCAGAAATATGCAAGAGCTGGCAAAAGGGGAGTGAAACATTTTTTAAATCAACAGTAATAATCTAACATTTGGAAGTGACTCAGGCAGATGCCAACCTTATTTAGTGAAAGGGAGGGACTACAACATTATCAGACTTGCAAGATTGGCCATTAGGTAGACCAGACCAAGAAATCAAGCCCATAGGAAGGCTAAAATTGCTTTTTGTGGAGATTGGCTATAGTAATAGAACCTTGCAAGCTTGTTTGTATTGTATCCTTTGCCTAGGTAACAGTTCTTGCATATTTCTGTTAAAGTTGTCTCCTTATTTTTTAAAATATTTCCTTCAGATCTCACATCTCTCTGCTCAAGTTTCAGGGATACCCTCTAATCCATGCACATTTCCTTCTTTCGGTGCCTGTGTTATTTATAAAGGAGATGTGTCTCTACCATTTCAGGGGAATATTCAAAAAAGAGTTTAGTCTTAATAGCCCACCTATGAACAGTAATAATATGTTGGAAGTAGTCTATGTGACGGGCACTATAAAAATATTTTAAGCAACAATTTTCAAATGTTGAGTCCGTGTTCATACCTGCATGTAATATTTCTAAATTAAAACAGAAATTTCAAATGAATTGTAGCACTGGGATTATTTTGCCTTTCTTTTTCATATGCACAGACTTTATATAAATATATCTGTATTTCCATAGAATCATTAGTCCAAATGTGTATGAGAACTTCATAACGTGTGTGTGTCTACACACACACTCCAGACTTTACATCATCTAGTCAAGGTTGAATTGCTAAGATGCCTGATAACTTCTATCACTACTCAACTTGCCATAGAAACACAGGAGAGGGGATAGAAAGCATTGGGAGGAAACAGGATTCTAAGAAGCTGTCCACAGACCGTGAGAACCTATAAGAATTCCAAGGTCACTAGCCCAGGTGTCTGATGGAGAGGTGACTGTTCTCATAATAAACCAAAGACATATGATTGGGTAACGTGAACACAGGGTGGGTGGGGGTTAAGGGAAGCTATTGTTAACTAGGCAGATTTTCGCATGGGAAAATCAGAACTGGTTTTACTACTTCAGTTCTGAGATGTGTACTCAATAAAATTTTATCTTTTATGGTATTTCAAAGCTTTGAAGATTCCTTGAATTTGAGCTTGCTAGTCAGATGGTTGACACCTCTTCATTTTATTGCTCAGTATAGATAAAAATAAAACATTTCTTTTACTAAGGGAAATGTAATGGTGTTTTGTATTCAATTTTTATTGAAAATATAATTGCAGTTTTATTTAATTTAATTATAAACACTGACGTTTTATGCACTTTCTTTTTATTTAGATTTTCTTTGAAATAGCATTCCAGTTCAATGTGTCTCACCTCCTGGAAAATACTATAATTCACTTTTCTGTTACAAGGTTGGTTCCAGTAATATCTACACAACTTTAAATTGAATCAAGGTCCACTGTCTTTATTTTGGGTTCCTCCAGTGAATTTATGGAAGGTTTCCACTGAATCAAGATTGCACAAAAGAAAAATTAGTCTATAATTTATTGGAATAAAAGGCTAAATGGTGATATATAAAAATGATTAAATGATTAAAATGTAATAAGAGAATTAATGGCAATATAGTAAAATAATACATAAAGCAATGGTAATATGAATGGTTAAAAGGGATTAATAAAGGGTAAATTTGAAACTAATCAAAGTTTAACCAATGGCAAATATTCTACTACTTTAGTGGAAGATTCAATGTTCTTATGTGGTTTTCAGCTTTGGATAGAATTAAGAAAACTTAATAAAGAAAGAAAGAAAATATAAAAGGGGAAAAAAGGTTACTATCTGCTAAAGAAATTCAAAGGATAGAATATTATGTCCATTTATAGTGAAATAAAAGTTTAAAGGTCTTGAATTAGGGGGAAAAATCCTGACAGCATGTCGGGAGTGGTGCAATGGTTAGAATGAAATATTGCAGGCTAACTCTGCCCACAGCCAGGAGTCTGATCCTGACCAGCTCAAGGTTGACTCAGCTTTCCATCCTTCCGAGGTTAGTAAAATGAGGACCTAGATTGCTGGGGGCAATATGCTGACATTGTAAACTGCTCAGAGTGCTGTAAAGCACTATGGAGACAGTATAAGTCTAAGTGCTATTGCTTTTCCTCTAACATCAGAAAACATTTCCTTGCTTCTTTATATGAATTAATCTTTTATTGTTACCAGTATCTTGCAGTGACCCTATGATTTGATTGGCTGCTGACATTCTTAAGTTACCCTTAAATTTCATTGGTCATTACTTGTCTGAATTCACAACGGTAGCTGATTACATCTACAAATCATGATAAATCAGCATAGGTATTAATTAATTGTTGCACCAAAAAACATTTCTTTTGGATTCCATACTTAATTGGCTATTTTAAACCTGGGCTTCCCTCTCAGCAATTAAGCTGACTCTAAGTTACACATTTTTCTTTTCTTTTCAGGTGTTCTTTTCTTTACAAATAAAAATGAAATAATTTTATAGCATAACAATAAGGCAAAACATGGGTGGGTGTTTTGATTATAATAGCTTATCAATTAAAATAGATTGTGGTCTAAAGCAACTTTTAAAATATGTTTTGTTTTAGTGATAGCGATGAACTTGATGAGACTCTTGGAGATAACAGAGGAACTATATCAATTCCAGTAAAATATGAAAGTGGATTAATATTTAAAAGGTATAACTAGATTTTAATTGTTTTTTATACTGATCATCCAGGGGGGGGGGGAGTTCTGTTCTGTTGGTAGAAAATCTCCTCTTCCCCAAAACAAGAGAGTCATGTGGTAGCATCGTTTCCTAATTTGCTCCTTAGTTCTCTTGACCATGGTTTACTAATGGCTCTTGATTCTGACTGTTGCTGAACCTCTGCCATGGTACCATTCTGGTAGTGCACATACTTTTTTATTCCCAATCCTGATTTTATATGGAATCCTTTAATGTAACACGCGAACACAAACACACACACACACACACACACAAACTCTATTGTTTCTGATATTTCACGTCCAAAGCATGGTGCTAAAGTTGGCTTTTGTTTTTACTCTGTGAAAGATCTTGAAATACAGTATTGTCATTTTTCAGATTCTTTCACAGAAAAGAAGAAAGAAGTATCTTCACTGCAGTCTTATCACTGCAGTATCTTAATGACCAGACCATAAAACACCCTACATATGTTATAATGATTAACCAATCATAAGTAAATGGAGCAACCAAACTGCTGCAACCAATTTTAAGTCAATAGAGCAATCAAACTGTTCCACATCTTGTATATCAGAGGTCCCCAACATTTTTGGGCACCAGGGACCGGTTCCATGGAAAGAGGTTTTTCCGTGGACCAGAGAGTGCGTGGTTTTGTGTGCTTCCTGCATCTCGCGGATGGAGCTTTGCTTGTTTGTGCAGACCGGTTGCTGGCATGCCGTGGCCCAGTACTGGTCCATGGACCGGGGGGTTGGGGACCCCTGTTGTATATGACAAAAATTGCATATTGTATTATCTGGCTTGTTCCATTGCTGAAAACATATTCAATTAATCAATGTTTTATCTTTTATTAATCTGGGGAAAAACTGCTATTTACAAAGAATGGAATTAGATTATTGTGTTTCACTAGTTGGTTTAAACTGGATTAACAATTTCATACTGTATAAATTGAATGGGAAAAATTAAGCATTATTCAGAAAACAAATCTCAGGTTTATTAAATTCATATTTTCTTGAACAAGAATAACACTATTATATTGCTTCATTTCATTTTGTATAGAAAACTGAAATAAGACATGTGACGTCTTTGTGATTCTAAATCACTGAACATTATTTTATTTCTTTTTAAGAGAATCTAGATCATATCACATCATCATTGCTGCAAATGATACAATACCTGCAGTAATTAATTCTACTGACAGAATTGGAGAAGAAATTAATATATACTACTTGGTAAGAGACAATGCCACTTTTTCTGGTTGTGGACTTTGAAAATTAACATTTATGTGCTGTATTTTTTTAATCAGGTGAATTTTTATTATGCCAGTTTGTAATAATTTCTATGAACCTGACAGAACTTTTTGCAAATGGAGCTTCTGGTCACCTGACAAATTTTTCCTATCCTGTATTTTCCCCTGCACGCCTCCAAAAATCTACTGCAAAGGATACCCAGACTTTCAGGACAGATTTGGGTGGGTGGGCATTGCGATAGAAGGGCAAAATGAATTCACATTTCTGACAGGAGGTCAGTGACAGTGATTTGGTACAGTTAGAATTCATGCATTCAAATCTGGAAGCTTTCCAGTCAACTATAAACATTTGCCAGTTATGGACACTTATTCTTCCTGCTTCATCTTTTCCCATGAACCCATATTGGGAAGGAATTAGTAAGAGATTTAAACATATTTATAACAAACCAGAACAAGTCATTGTGTCAGTGCGGTATAACATGGCCACTGGAAATATACCATAGATCATTTATTTTCTATACCTTAGAG